TCTCTATTGTGAGAAATATTTGGTTTTGGGAAAAAAATGGGAATTAATATAATGGTTAACAAAAGTGTGATAAACACATGTTGTATAGGAATTTGAATTAGCATTAAACTAATATTCTTTGTTGGTTTAGCTAATGGTAGCTCACCAATTCCATGAAACTTGTTTCAATGAAAAACGGAATCTTGTACGCTTTATCCATTAGGAACTTCTTATCTTACCTAAGAATCATTATTTTCAAACTAAAATTATAGAAGAACCTTAAAATTAAGGTTGTTGTTAAATAATAAGGGAACTTTGATGACGGTAATAAGCGTTAAAATAATGAAAAGTCATACTGAAGTAATATTGCATGCCTTGTGTGAAAAACGTATATAAATGTTAAATTCACAGTTTTTTAAAAAGGTATTTACAAGTTATTCTAGAGTTTTAAAAATCGAATCGAACCGGTATGTCAAATTGATTTAGTTGAGAATTGGAGGAATCATCGGTCTGATTTCTTTTGAGATTGAATATACTATTGAATTAGTGGAAATTAGCTAAAACAAGTAAAAATCAATGATCCGAAAGTTTTAGAAAACCGACGGGTCAATTGTATGCTTTTTTTTCTCGATAAAACAACGGCGTTTTAATAATTTTTTTATTAAAAAATAAAATAAAATATTATTAGACTTATTCAAAATTTATTTGGAACACCTTTCTCTTATTTGTAATTACATACAATGCAAAATTTATTTAAATTTGTATTTTGTATTATTTTGTCGTGAGTGATGATTATATTTAGAATTTGAATTTAAAGAATGAAGATGTAAAATTATGATATTTTAAAATTTTGAAATTTTGTAAGTGTTGTGATTTTTTAGACATTCAGTTATTCGACTCGACCGATTTAATAAATATATAATTTTATTATAAAGATAAGTTTATTCAATCGAATTATTTGATTTAATCATATCTTTCGATGAGTAACCCAATAATTAGACCAATGAACAATTTGATGATCAATCCGATTTTTAAAACGTTAGATTAATCAATTAATAATTTTTAAAAGTTTTACCGGTCAATAAACAAATACGATAAATAAAAATAAATCAATAAATAAATAATAAATAAAATTAAAAACAGGTTACAAGAAATTTTGAGAGGAAAATAAATCATTAATTTATTTATTTTTATTAACTATAAAAACTTTTTAATTTATAACAAATACAACAAAAGCCCATCTAATAAAATAGGAGAATAAATTTCATAAGGGTTATTTATTAAAAAATATTTAAAATTCTGGTATGACAGAACACAGATCTCCTATGATAAGTTGAGACATATGATCTGACTTAAACATTACGGTAAGGTATGATAATATAAAATCATTATTGAAAAGCATAATCAACACACATAAATTGTTAACCCAGTTCAGAACAACCTTTCTACTATGAGGGCATACCAAGTCAGTCATAAGTCCACTAAAATAGTATCAATTTATAGATCCTATAGCAAACCTTCAATTTATGTCCTAATCACTTAACCACTACCTTTACTAGACTTCTATCTAAGACTCGCCTAGATATGAGGTCCTCATCAATCCCTCATCAATCACAGACAACGATTGGATCAAAATAAGAAAATACACTTCCATGACATCAAAACAGAAGACACATTTCCATGACCATACCTAGCCAATACTCTTGACTAAGAACACAACTTAGAGTTGCTTACAAGCTTCCTCCAAGAACAATACTCAACTCATTACCTACAAGTTTCTGAGTGAGAACACAATAACCATCTCATAGCCCGTGTGATTTACTTACACCAACTCTCCTAGAGAGTGGCTACGTGTAACACAGTGGGATAGCTGACTTGGGTGTTTTGCGTTTTATCGCAAATATTACAGATATCAAGAGTCGCCACCGAATTTTCTTTTATCTAAATAAAGGAAAGGATGAAAGGAACAGGAAAGACCTTTTGAGAATTTTTCTTGAGTTCGGGGGGTAGCTTATGAAAAGGGAAGGTATTAACACCCTTTTCATCTGTAGTTATCTACGGGCTCTTAACTGCTAGCTCACTTTGAAATGCCTTGTGTTTGTGTAAGTTTGAAAATATTTTGAAAACGCCTTCGTTCGGAAAACTTTGTAATGATCCCCGTATCGTTGAGAATGCATACAAAGTGTTGGTTTTGAAAACAGTTTAAGAAAGTGTTTATGTGTAGAAAGATGTTTGTTTTGAAGAGTGTTTTGAAAGTGTGAGGTGTAAAGATGATTTTAGTTTGTGAGCAAGAAATTACGAGCAATCTAACTACTCAAAAAGTCTTTGTTCTTTTCCTCCTTCTTTAGATAGTGCTTGCCTATCATTAGTTGGTAAGGAGCCATATCATTGGATGTTAGGAACAGACGTGGGCCATCGTACAATCATAGAAGACAACTTGTATGATGTTTTAGAAATTGTCGTAAGGGACTAAGATCATTTACCGAAGGCAGCGTCGAAGGGTCATCGAGGGACTACGATCTTATAATCGAGGGTCTTTGCTAAAGTATCTCACGTTCGAGGGACATGACTGTTTTTATCTGAGGCAACAAGTGTGGGTTACCCTAGAGGTGAATGTGTGCAAAGTGTGTTTGATTCAATTATTTTATCTTGAATTAGGATTGTCTAATGTTTGATTTTAATCTTACCATAAAAACCATAATTACTAACAAAATAATGAATGAAAGAAATTGCAGAATTTAAATGTCCTACACTATTACATCGCTTTGGGAATGAGTGGTACAAATTTGCAAATGGGGATGACAAGTAAAGTAAATCATAATTAATATTACAAAGCTTTGACAGCTACATAAATTGTAATGCAGAATAATAAAATATACAAAAATGTAAAGATGAAGAAAAGAGAAAAGAAAATTGTTTTTATGACTTTTTATGGAAAAAGTTTTATAGTTAACCTAATTAAACTAATTAATTTTAATTGCAAGATAAATTTATTAAGTATTTTAAACAAAATCTAAAATCTAGATTAATTTAAATTAAGAAGAAAATGAAACCTAAGTTTAACAATTAATTGTTTTAGAAAAATATTTTTGGGGTTTCAAAAATAAGATAAAATAAAAATGATCAAAATGTTTTTAATCTATTTATTTAAGAAAATATATTTTGTATTTTAATTAATTAAAAATAAAATAAATAAAGAAAATATAAAAAATATAAAGGAAATGAAAAGTTGGGCCTGGTGTTAAAAAGTAGAAAAGGGTGTGAAAAATAGCAAAAATGTTAGGTCCAAATCATGTTTTTTTTGTCAGAAAATAAACAAAATAAAAAAGAGAAAGATGAGTCTAGTTGTTATGAGCAGTTTAGGGGTGCGCTGAAGAAAAAAGAGAATGGACCAGTAATGGAGGCCCAACGCGCTTGGAAGCAAAAAAGGAACAAAAAATAATGGGACGATGGGGCTCGAACCCAGGTCCTATAGGTGAAAGGAGCGCGCTTTAACCACTGGGGTGGTGATACATCCTTTAGTTAAGGCAACAATCACTAAATATATTTTAAACTCGTTTTTGACTGTGCTTCGTCTTCTTCCTTGCGCCAGAAGCCATGTACAAAGTTTTTGAAATTTCAAACTTACTCATTTCTCAACCATTTCAGAAAATATAAACATCAAACTTGTTAGAAATTTCATCACGATTTCAACCATATAATTAACTTAAGCTATAAATCAAAGATGAGTATGAATTTTGCTTGGTACCAAATTCAGACCTAATTTTTCTGTAACTTCCACTTTAAAATCCACATCACTCAGGCCCGGTAAATGAAAACTAAAGACACGGTTAGATTCAGGGCAATGATGTCTACATTTTTTATTTACAAAATAACTATTAATAACTATTAATGATGTTTGTATGAGGAGTTCAAAGTTGAGAAAAATTACCATTCCTGGAGGTGTGGTGATGATCTGGATAGTTTCACTGGACTCCTAGGAAGCTAATGTAATGCTTAGTTTGAGGTGAGAGTGCATGAATCTTCCTGGAGAAGTCAAGTTGCAGAGTTGAGTTTTGGAAATGGTGGATGGTGATGGAGGTGTTACAGAAGTGGTTCAAGTGTTTGGATCACTTCTATATGGTGTATGAATGATGCTTGAAAGATTGAAATGGAAAATGCACGAGTAGATTTGAAGTTGGATGTTCAAAGTCATAAAAGGCACAAAAATAGAGTTTTGAGAGCAATTCTGAGTTTGGGAGTGTTTGAGGGAGTTTCAATGCTCGTGAATTCGTGTGTTAGCTTGCAAATACTTCCTCTATTTATAAGCAAGAGGTTTCAGATGATGAGAGGGCTTGGTTTTCAAATTCAAAGTTATGGCTAGGTTACAAGATTTTGAATCAATATTGAAGAGCATGGTTCCAATGCTTGTAGACTGCCTTCTATAGTGGTTGAAAACTTTAAACATGTTTCTTCTGAGCTTATAGATTGAGTGTGTTCAGAACAAACAAGTTAGAGACTCAAGACAAGTTGACTTTGTGATTAAAGCAACTTTACAAGAACGACAATGTTACTTTGTGCCAAAAATGGATGAATCTCTTAGACATTGGTTCAAATGCTTAGATCATAGCTCTAACATTTATATAAACAATTAATTATGGAGTGATTTTCAAGTTAGAAGCCTGCAAAGCAATATTTATGCAGCATGGCTTGAGATTTGATCAAGTGTTCATCATCAAAATAACCTATAATTCAAGAATGAATGCCCAACTTCTTCTCTTCGATTCTCTTAGCTCAAGCATGATGTCTTTAAGTTCTTGGACATTTTGTAAAGCTTGAAGCATTGTCTACAACACTCATGTTGACCACTTTGGCTAAATAAACTTGGAACTTGGTGAAAAATTGCCAAGAAGTTGAGACAAAATCCTGACCAAACTTATTGAAAATGAAAATTTCACTAAGTGTTTTAGTAAAAATGTCATGACTTCATGGACCTATATCTCTTAATCTAAGCATTTTATGGACATCAACACTTTAATACA